GTGTGTTTGCCACATGCCCCCTTAGGGTTTCGCACTCGTTGCAAAAGTGGCTTTTTGAGTGGTTTTTCAATGAAGTGTTAAGTGGGGAAAATGCCAGGCTGCTCAGTCGCCCTCTGACTGCGTGTGTGTGCCACTCCAGCAGCTGCCTGTGTATGTGTGTATGTGTGTGTGTATTTAGTTGTCGCTGCCTATTTGTCTCTTTCCGGCCCCTCAGCAAATAGGTCTGCGGTCTGTGCACACCTTTAGCTAGCGCCCTTGCTTAGCTCTTGGTTATTGCTGTGTGTGTGTGGTTGTGTGTTTGTTGTTCGTGGTGCGCTGCTCCTCCATATTGCTGCCATTGTTTGATGGTGGTTATAAAGCTGACAGCTGTCAGTTGGCAGTAAATTTGCTAAAATGTTTATTTGCCAAGCGGATGAGTTTGCGTTTAACTGCATGCACAGTCCTCTACACACAAACACAAATACAAACACACACGCACACACACTCAGAGAGAGAGAGAGAGAGATATGCTTACAACAGCATAGACACACACACACTTGAATAGTTTGGTCGCTTGCCACACAATCACTGACATGTGTAATACACACACACACGCACGCACACAGATACACTTTAACACACACACACTTATAGAAACTGTATACATTTAAATGGACAGAAAGCCAACTCCTAAGGCACAGTTCAGTTTACCAACGTGGGCCACATTTAATCACTTATAAACAGTCGCCGTCGTAGTAGTGGCAGCAGCAGCAACAGCAGCAGCAACAGCCGCAGCAGCAATAGCAACAACAACAACAATAATTATAATGAGGGCAGCATTGCGTGCATGACAAATGTTTTGGTACTTAATAATAGATTAATTATAGCCACACTATAAAATGGCTTAACGATTATGACAAACATATAACAGCTTAGAAATGGAGAGAGAGAGAGAGAGTGAGAGAGCGAGAGAGAGAGAGAGAGAGAGTGAGAGTGTGTGTGGCAGTGAATGCGTAAGGTCAACTTGGTGATATGGACTTAAATTAATTAATTTAATGCAACCTCTGTGTATTCTGCATGCAGCTTGTAACTAAATGGCGGACCAACGTGCTTAAGTTGCCCCAATTGAACAGGAAACGTGCTCTTTCCCAATAGTAGATATTCATATTCATAGCAATTAATGATTTGAATACTTTGGGAATATAGAGAAAGCACTAAGGAAGCAGAAATATCTCATTAGCGAAAAACGAACTGCAATGGCTCTCTTAAAATGTATGTCGCAAGGCATAAGAAGTCTTGCCAGAGCCTCTTGGGGTATATAATCTTGAACAGAACGACGATCAGAGTTGGTCTACTCATATCCGTCGCTCAGTCTGTTCATCTGTATTAGTACAGCTAATTTCGATCTCCATGCAGAAGCCTTCGCACAGTCGCAGAGTGAGCAGATCATCTTCTTATTTGTGTGTGCGTGAGTGTATGTGTGTGCATGGATTGTATGTTGATTGAGATGCCTTGAGGTGTGTTGCTCTGCTCATCGCTTCAAAGAGCGACAACTTCTATTCAGAGTTCTTATATACATAGCGGAGATATTGAGCGTGCTTTACTTATGTTTTGTCGTTGGGATGATTGTCTACTCCTCAATGCTCTCCACTGGATGATCAGTGTGTGATCATTAATTATATATTAAAAGTTTCCTCTTTCTTTTCCGATTTATATAAGAGCCTTCTCCCCTGTTCATTTTTTCATAGTAGATCGTCCAGCTGATCCTCTCTTTCCCACTCGGATCCTTTCATTGCCCATTTACAGTTGTCCTCTTACGTCGAAACTCTCGGTGGCTACGATTTAAGTCATTCACTGAAATCTTAATGCCAGCTAATGAGGCTGCAACTGTTTGCTGTCTCAAGCCGTTAAATTGTTTTCACTATTTGCTGGATGGAAATTTTATGGCCTTACGCTGCGGCGCGAGGCTGCCGTATCTTTTATACTTATACACATTCACGGGAGTGAGATGGGCATATTGGTTTGCTGCAATGTTCGTCTTGCAGCCAATCGGACGTTGTATAAACTAG